AACCTTTAGAAAACAACTGGGCGAGGCGTCTCTTGCATGAAACACGAACTGCAAACATTAATCCAGGCGAAAGACTGTAATTTGTATTATTATGGAATTTGTTTGGCCTGCAATGCTCCACTTCATCCCAGCAGTGAGCTTTGAGGACGAGTAGTATCTTGTTTAAATCTCGCCACCAGCTCTGGATTTACACACCTCACTTCTTCTTTCACCCTTTTCTCTGCGGACCCTCCCCAGTCTGCCTGAACGTATCCCAGCCTGTCCCCGCCTCTGCAACTGGCTTTTGTCTAGTTACACGCTTCGGTTTGTCATCACATAATCCAGGAAAACGTGTCTTGAAAGTCACAAGTGCCCTGTAATTAGACTTATCTCATTTCTCTTTCATTCCTGATATTTACCCCTTCCCCTGTCATTTGTGTCCTTCTTTTACTGCGTTTCCCCCCTGATGTTTTACACCATTCGCTAACTTATTCCTCAAACAGGGGAATACAAATCAGCCCCAGGGTAAGTAGATGTCTGCCAGCCATCAGAGATGCAAGCAGGGATATGATCACTGAAGCAGGACATGGAAGATTTTATTAAATCCTGGACTGAGGGAGCCTCAACGCCGGAATGGGTTTGGTTTTCAATGTCTTGCAAAACGTATGTGATACATCCTCCAGTTCAAATTAGTTTGTTAGTCTTCAAATTAGTCTTCATCTGGGAAGTAGAAGAAAAACAATGGAAATTGTTCAGAAACTCAGCCCCCTTAACCTAAAACCTTTGGATGTATCCCTGCTCCAACACACCTGACCGAAATGAATGGTTAATAGCCAAGACTCAGTGATGGCATAGTTACTTTGAAAAAATAACTTTAATTGGATTATTGATTACTCCTCGAAAAAGTAACTTATTTAGATTACTGATTACTTGTTTTGGAAAGGAGCTAAGTTACATTAAAAATAACGTTTTTAGTTACTTTCAGAGCTGCTAACTTCAATGATTCACCATCTGTGAAAATCACATTGAGCTTTGTCAATGCTTAATTGCAAGTTATTTTATAATGGTAACTACAACAATGTGTCTCCCCTTATAAGATTGAACTGAAGAGGAAACTTCATGGACAAGTAAATTCTTGGCTGTTTTCACGTTTATTGTGCTGTCCAGATTAGTCTTGATGTTTGCAGTTTGTCGTAGCGTCATATTGCCTTGGCATTCACAAAGACAAAGCAGAAGGGATCATCCGGGAAATGATGGACAGGGAGAGTCTAACTAAAACTAACTGGATGTCAGACTAATTCAAAATTTTCTATCTGCTTATATCCTACCCCAAAAAGCGCAACCTGCCACTCATTAAATTTGCAAGCCACTCTACAAAAAAAAAAAAAAAACAAGACCAAAGCTGCTTATAATAATCACCGAAACTCAAATTAGTTCTTGATTTTCCAGCAACAAAATGCGTGTCTCCCTCCATTGTTTATGTTTCTGTCGCTACTCATAATGTCGCACAGAAAAAATCTCCAAGACACGTAGAGGAAATAACATTGAATTACAAAAGATAATAGTAACAAACAGTAAAGCAAAGTGAATTCAATAACTTTAGTCTGATTACTGGATTTGAAATAGCAACGTATCAGGTTACTCGTTACAGAAAAAAGTGGTCCGACATAAGTAACATGTTACTAAGTAATAAGTTACTGACATCACTGCCAAGACTGTGAAACTAAGGAGGTAAATTTGATTCAGGTGTGTTGGAGAAAGGACATATCCAAATGTTGCAGGATATTTAACAGAATCATCAACCATTTAGAAGAAAGAACTTACCTATGTTAGATTGTTCTGAATACAGTCTGATTGGTCTTGAGCTATTTTGCAAAAGAAAAATGGAGAAAGTATGGAAGAGAAATGTCCCACTGCTGTTGGTTCTACGAAGACTTTGGGAGACTGAATGTAAACGCCTGGCAAGCTGTTAAGAAGCTTATTTTTAGGAAAGTACTGAAAGCCATTTTTTCTTCCGCTTCAAATGTATGTTGTCACTGTCTGTTACATAAAATCCAAATAATGTGGTTTGTGTTTACAATGTGACAAAATGTGAAAGGTTCAAGGAGTACTAATGCATTTGCAAGGTGCTGTACTCGGTCTCTAAGATTTAAAAGAAGTGTAACCCAAGAGAAAAGCAGTGGGAGGAAACTTGATTTGGATTGATGAGCCTGAAAGCCCAGTGGGTGTGTATTTTAGCTAAACAGACTATATCCAGAGCTTTTCAGTGCCTGGCTTCTCAGGTTAGTAACGGAGATAATAAGTGTAACATGTGGGATCTAGCTGTGTTTTTACTTCACAGCAGGTTGGAACATTGATAAGAGCTCTGCTCCAAAAATGACCCTTTAGGAGAGTAAAACCATCTCTGGAATTTATTACTCTCTGCTTTTCTTCCCCTTTTTTCCCTCCAAAAATACAAGCAACCCTAATACAAAATGTCACCATGTTCTCTCAAGCGCATGGCTTTAATAAAATTTGGTCGAGACAGAAGACTGTTGCCATGAGGATTTATAGCTTCGCCCACTGAGATAGAACACAGCTGACAAGATGTTGGTACTAAAGCCATTTGCAAAGCGGCTGCTGTAAAATGAGATATATTACATATGTCATGCACTTTACAGCATGGTCACCTCTTGTTTGCTCAGTCACCGATAAAATCTGTTGTGAAGACTGATATTTTTCTCTTATGTAGCTTGCAACTGTTTGCAATTAGGATGTCAACTCCTGCAGTACAGCAGCTGATTACATGTTTACACTGTTCCCAGAGAAGCTGCTTTCCCCAAAACTGTTCAGTCTTCTCATTAAAGCTGGCCTCTGTAGCAAAGGGAGGTAGTGTGAGACCTGCAATCTTTTGCAAACGTTTGAAGTCCAAAATTTAAATCATAAATTTTAGTGGAAGCACCACACATCACAAAGTTCAATATTAAACCAGATGCGTGTCTTTTTCTATGTGTACACTATTTTCAAAAATGGCAAAGAAAAGAAAGAGCATGCAGAAAGAGTTTTGGTGTTGAAGAAATACAGTCAGACAATTTAAGACAAGCCAACCAATCATTAAAAAGTTCTGTCATTTTCTTTAATGTGTTCCTCATCACCTCAACTGAACAGTTTCCGACTAATTTCGCTGAGGAGCCAGGAGATGACTTTCTCCATGAAAATGATAGAATGCTATATTGGCATCGGATGAAGTGGGTTAGCAATTCTCTGTAGATTTGAGCATATCAGCACACACATACTAGGGGCTTTTTGGAGCCTTTGGTCTTCCTCCCTCCTGTGGGAAGCCTATTGGACCAGCAGACAAATACAAAGCACTATTCAAGGCACCCAGAAGTCCAACACACAAGGACATCAGTGAAGTGATGTCCCTGTGTGTTGTCCCTGTGAGATGGAGGGTACAGAGTCACCCGCTCCAGCCATGTCATATCTCCCATCATGCAGTCCCCCAGTAGTCCATGGCCCCCACCAATTTTCAACAGCAGATGTTGCTTTGAATTCAGGTGTGTAAGTCTTAGGTGCATTAGAATTGGGGTTGTGGCTGGTGTCTGATTCCACTGCTTTGTGACATCAGAGCTGTCTCCCCAAACCCAAACCCCTACATTACTGCAGGTCTTTAAAATTGAGGTGCAGGACAGGGCCAAACACATATTGCACATATTAGGAAGGGGGGAGTAGGCGCAAACATGCCAGCACAAGTCTTAGGAACCAGCATCCAACCAGCCTCTATTTGTCCCACCTGTGCCCACACAAGTACACGACCAGCTGAGGCCCCAGCAAACCCCAAAGATTCCCTGGACATTGTCCTCCTTCAAACTTATTTACAAGATTCTTTGAGACATTTTTTTGTGATGTCTCTGAACAAATACTTTTTATTCTGAACCTTCCTAATTACTTATGTTTATTCACAATCTGACATTTTAAAGTGCATATTTTAAGCTTACCAATAAATAGAATGTTTAGAGTATTTATTAAGTGAGTCACTGGTTCAGCTTTCACATTTTCAGACAGATAGCATTCCTCTGAAAAATATGAACTTACCCCTCAAAGACTTGGAACTTGACCTGGACTCACCTCTTAAATATTTAAGCGCTGATAAGCACTTGCTTCTTAAATTCTTAGCAATAAACATGTCTCTCCCAACCAGTAACTTGTGACTGGACTTGAATATGCCTCAATTTGTTTGACACAACTTGGACTTGAAATCTCAGTTTTATATCAAAACTTATATTCAAAACCATTGTAATTTTTTTTTCATTTCAATAAAATCAAGGCCCCCTTGCTGTATTCATAGATGTAAGACCATATTTATTTCTCTCAGCATTCCTCAATAGATTTTTATTGCTTTGTACTATATAATGGTGCATAAACTCACAGCGCTTTGTTTCATGCTTGTTGCACAGTTCTGCTTTTTTGAGGCTGTTAGTGAAGGAGTTATGAGAGTGTATTTGTCCAAATTAAACAAAGCCTTCCAACCTTTTCTTCTGAAGGTTACAAATGACCCAACTGTATTTATAACCTGACATTTTAAAGGGCTTGTTTATTTACCAAGGCTCTATTTGTTATACTACCAACTGGCTCAAGTTTGATATTTTCAAAAAGAAGAGAGAAACTTGCTTAGTTCTAATAAAACATGCAAATAACAATGATTTTCCAAAATAAATTTACATGTGTCCATTGGAACTTTGTCTTTTGGAAAATAAAAAAAGAAGTACACAACACTGCTTTCTTGTTTCTGTTTTTTTCATCCTTGTCACATTGGAGTCACCAGGGAGAGACTTGGCTTATTTGCCTAAGGGTTGCCCTTTTTTCCTTAACAACAAAGGGAAAGCACCCCCACACACCCACACATCCACACCGCAACACACACAGACACACGGACCACAGTTCTTATCCCTCCCTTCTTCCTTGAGTTTGCCCTTTTTAGGCTGTTCCTCTTTTTTTTCCATGTGAAGGAGGGATAGTATGACAGCTTTTCCTGCTCTTGCAGACCCAAGCCGGGAGAGAGAAAAACTCTGTTACTCACTCAGTCTCCAAGTTTGAGAGGAAGTTACCACCTCTTCCCCAGACTCTGAACACGCACTGCTGGCGGAGGCACACACATACACTCACACACAAGTTGTTCAGGACAGCAGAAAGCGTGAAACAGCCAGGACTGCTTGTAAATGTGTTTGTGGAGGGAAAGAAGATTTGCACTTGATCTGAAGATCTCGGAGTGGACTGAACAACTTCTTCTGGGACGTTTTCCTCTCATCACCTACCAGTGAGTTTGACAGTTTGCTTCAATGTGTATGTAGTACCATGGAAACCTCTGTGAAACATACAATGCAGCCCTCTGTTAAAGTTCAAATGCGTCGCTGATTGTTAAAACTTTATATGTTATGGAGGTGCCTGTGTTGGAAAACTTTCTTATTCTTGAGAAAAAACGAAATCCTGTACCACTATTGTTTCCACTTGGCAAGCTCTGTTGAATATGAAAGAATTTGGAGAGTTTGGGAAACAAAGACTCACTCAGCTTTTACATGTGATGCTCATAATAACAACCATATGTCGTCATAGATTAAACTACTGTTTTTGTCAAAACCAGGCATTATCTGAGCAGGATTTCCATCCAAACAGAGCATCATTGTGTGGTCCTCCCTCATATGTGTGTTTTCCGTTCGCAATAAGTGAACCGGTGCAAAGAGAATACTTGAAGCAGAGGGACCGGGGAGCCTGCTAATGGCTTTCCGGTGCAGCTGCACATTATTTAATGACTGGTTTGTTGCTGTTGTGATAAAACAAACAAACAAAAATCTGTTGAGTAAATTCTCAGCTCAGTTTTTTTTTTCTTTTTTCAGATACAGGTTTTTAAAAGTAGGAATTAAACTTGTGCACAACTTCATATGGTTCTAGTTCTCATCCAACTTATACAATCTTATACAAGCATTCTTGCACAACATCAGCTGCCCATATGCTTCAGTCAGGTTTTGTATCTCCTTCTGTCTGTGATGAATGTTTGTGGTTAGCACCTCCTGTCAGAGGAGACGGAGAAGGAAGGTGATGTGTGGAGGTTGGATTGGGCCTCTCCTCATCTGTGTCTAATCCAGTCAATCTGAACAGGCTGGCAGCACTTTAACTACATCTCCTATTCTCAATCTGATAACCCTTCATTGAATGAGTGTGAAAGTCAGGTAAATAATACCTTCGAGCATAGACGCCTGAGGAGTGTTGACTCCTCTGTGACCTCTTTAGGCTGTTCAAGTTGGCAGACTTTCCTTTTACCCAAAGCCCCATAGTCTCATTTATCAGCCGACATTTCTTATCTGTCTAGAGGCTGGTTGTTAACGTACTTTATTTACCCCGAGGTCAGAGGCTGTGATCTGATTTGACTTGCTTGTCTAAACTCCCATGGTGCCAGCCAGTTTGAAAGGTGATTACACAAAGTTTCAGTCCAGTCTCAGTCAAAGTAAACGAAGAGAAAAGGGCACCTCAAGATAGCACTGCACAAAGACAAGAGATAAACACAACTTCCTGTTAAAGATGGGTGAAAAGTACACTAAGGCTGTTTGTAATTATCATTTCACAACAGCTCAAGGGAAGACAATTCAGTGTGACAGATTATGCTTATCACATATCAGTTTTGTGATCACACTACTTCCAATAGCTCTAGTCATGTTTAAGAGCAGTGTATCTGTTTAGATTTTTTAAAGCTATTTCTCAGCATTCTGCACTTAGGGACTGGACTTAAACCTTCTAACAAAACTGCATAAGTACATATTTTCCAATGAGCAGCAGAAATGCAGTAAAATTGGCTTAACTGAGCAGAAAGTCACACCACATCAGATGATCATCAGCAGATCTCTTAGACCCCCAGCTGTTGTGAACATTCGTCATCCAAATAAGCACGATTCATGTTTTTATTGCTGACTGTTCAAAGATGGCTACATCTTTGCTGCTTTATCCAATGTGAAGTCAGAGAGTATGAAAATATTCCTCAGCTTGATATATATTTACTCTGTGCAATGACTGAAGATACGAATGCATTCCTCCCATGATCATATTGAAGCATGTAAAATTAACTTTGATGTTTTTATTCTTTCTTTTGTCACAGCAACATGCACTTCTCAAACTTTTTGCCTACACATACATTTATTAAGATCCCCTATTTACGTTCAACAAAATGTTTGACAAGTTAAACCCCAAAACTTTGCCTCGACATTCACCCCTGTTCTTCTCACTTATATAAACACTGACATGGAAAAGCCCAGGCTTAGTCAAATCCCTGACAGATTTAGGATGAAAGTAATTTCTAAAATTTCAACACGTTTCTCCCGGCATGCTGGATTTGAAAAGGTCCAGCAAGAGTCCCATTTGACTCGAACACGACACAAAAACTTTAATGTTAAGGCTTCTGCTACTCTGTTTCATACTTGGTTTGCCACAGTGGGAGTCATTTTGCTCCTTCTCACATCTTTACTTGTGCAACTTTGGGTGTAAATATTAATCAGCTGGATGTTGCTTAACATTCATAAGCTTTGATCAGGTCTTTTGCATGTTGTACAAGAGTCAATCAGTCCAAATGGATTAAAGAAAAGTTGAACAATAAAGATAGGTGAGTACTATGTACCTATATATTTTTCAGATGAAATGCAACTAAATTATACATGATATTGGGGTTTGTTTTGCTGTTTTCTACATAATTGATGAAGATTCTCAAAAAGTAAGAAAAATAAATGTATTTGCCAGATTATGGACATACATAACCTGGCAAAGGAGATAGAGAACTAAATAAAGAGGTAAACTGATCTGGAACTGTGAAATAGTGTTTTGTTCCATATCATTAAGAACAGAATAATAGTCCTTGCACCAACCCTGATGTTACAGGGTTGGTGCAAGGACTGTACAAATGTACAAAAGGCTGACTGTAACCTGTCAGGCTACAGTCAGCTTATTAATACTTGCAATGAGAAACCAAAGGTTGAGGGAAAACAAAGTTAAACAGAAAAAGAGAAACGTGCTTTAAACATTGTTGGTTAGTACAGCTGTGGTCTGTTGAATGGTTGAAACAGTTCTTTTTGGGTCAGTTTCAAACAATCAAAGAAAGCTTTGCATCAGTTAATTCAATATATGCCAAATTATTTGCTGTTTTTAAAGTGGAAATGTATTGAGTACTTGAGTTTAGTTCTCCTCCATAGGGAATAATCACAAAGATCTCAGTTTGCAGTCAAGCAGCAGTCGATATCTGAAAGAGAACTGATTTAGGAGTATATTTTCACAATCTCTTTATCAAATGACAAAAAAACTTTACTGTGAATGCTATCAAGTATTTATCATACATTCCAATATTTTTCAACAAAATAAAACATGCTACAAACTAATTTCAAATAAATAAATGACTCAAATACAAATTAAAAGGTAGTATTATCTTAAATGACTCTACAATGTTAGGGTTTGAGTCTTAGTATGGTTCTGTCAGGTTTCTAAAAAATATCAAGATATTCTGAATAAATTGGTCCTAATAACAAATGGCAGTGCTGGAGTTATCCTGTCTGCTAATAGTTGGTAAGTCATTCGAAGCCACTCACAAACAGGACTTTAAACCATGCCAGCAACTTTAACTTTATTTACACAAATACACTCCTGTCATGGTGATATTTGTTAAATCTGGAGACATTGCATCACATTTATAGGTAGTATAAACCGATATCTTTGGGCCAAGTCAAACAAAGGGCAAGCATGTGTTTTGAATGATAAAGCAATTTTGTGGGTTCATAGATTTAACAATAGATCTCTTGTTTGTATGCTTCTGGATAGTTACCCAGATCAATCACAATAATGTGCTCAAAGCTCTATTTACTGAGCAATAAATGTGTGAGGATGCAAAAGAATTAATTGTAGTGTACAAGAGCAGATACAAATATCTTTCAACAACAACCACACCAACACCTGTAAATGTTTATCTGCTCCAATCTGGCTCTGGACTGATATAAGCTTCATTCAGTGTCTTAATAAGGTGCGTAAGGAAACAAAACATTGTATATCCTCTGGATTTACAAAGTGAAGCATTCAGACTCTACCTCACATTTGGAACACATCTGGATGACATTAACCACTTGCCCTAACCCCCCCGGCTCAGTCCCCATCTCTATTACCCTCACATTACCTGCCTCAGCCGGCAAAACATGGTCCTCACAGGACTAGGGTACACCCTTCAGGATACAATGGGATCGAGTTCTTTGTTTTACTCTTAGCAAGCTGGCATTATATTAACAACAAAGAAATTGTTGTTTCCATAGCCCAAGCAAAGCTAAAAGGTACAAAGTCTGGAATCAAATGACAAATAGAAAAGAATGTCTGATTTGGTTGGTTTTGTGTTTGCTCTTGGAAACGTTTGTGCCCTTGAAAGAAAAGCTGATATTTATTTATTCATGAGTTTGTGTCAAATAAAGCAGATCACAAAGCAGAATACAAATGCATATAAAAAAGTTTATTATTTAAAAAATAATGTTTTAGTCCCACATAAACAAAAAGAACCCCCTAACTATTATAACTATTATGCAAATGTCCAGTTCACATAATAAAATGCAAATTGACTGACTTTAGTATTCTGAGACATTTTGCAATTGCAACTGGCAGCAGGCAAGGCAACAATTTCAAAGTCAGTTTTCCCTAATATGTGGTTTAAAACCTTTTATAACAAGTACTCACTTACAGATGCTTATAGATTTTAAGCACAATATAGACTTTTTTAGGTTTTGTATATATTCTTTTGTTTTCATGGAGCTTTGTGTTTTATTCACACACTTTTTTAAAGGTTTTGTTGACACTTGTTTATCAGTTATCAGACAGGAAAGTGGGTTATGAGAGAGAGGGAAAAGCAAAGGTTATTGGGCCAGGAAATGAACCCATGACAGCCTTGGCTGTCATGGGTTCATACATTGCTTACACTTTACCATACATTGCTTACACTTTACCATACATTGCTAACACTTCACCTCTGCACCACTCTCACACACAGGTTTTGTGTATATTCTGTGCCCTTAGGACAAGTACCCTAAAGTCATAAATCCAAGTAGATTTTCTGTAGGTTTTACACCAACCCTTAACGTAGAATTAAATAGGGCTGCCATTCATTGAACATGTATTGATAAACACCATAAAAAATCTCTTTCAGCAAAATTTGCATGTCTTGCTAAAAAAAAGACATGCCAGAGATCAGTTTCTTCTGGTGCTCCTCTTTATTTTTTGGATTCACATTGCAAACCTTAAAACTTACCCAGG